AGCGTGTCGTTGATGCCGCCCAGCTTGGCGATCATGCACGTGTTCTTTGTGTCCTCGATTACCCTGGCGACCTGTCGGAACGAAAAGCCGACCGACACGTGCTTGATGGCGAGCTTGAAGCGCGTCACAGCGGGGATCCTGACCGTGTAGCCGACGCCACTCTCGTTCTCGGTGAAAAGCGACAGCGCACTGCGCCGCAGCTTGGCGATCTTTCGGTTGCGAGCGTCGATGCCCGTGAGTTCTTCCCCGTCGTCATCGTCCGCCTCCAAGGCCGCAACCTCGTCCTCGGGGCGGAACATCATCTCGCCGATGATGACCTTGACGATCGAGTCCGAGATGACCAGGTTGATTTCGTCGCTGTCCATGTCGATGTAGTTGTGCATGGTGTTCGCGCGAGGAATCGCCAAGTCGAAGAACGAGTCCTGTCGCGCAGAGGACTGGGCACTGTACTCAGCCCAATTCTCGCCGTGCTGAGACTGCATGTGCTTCGTGATGACGTCGCTACGGTACTGTTCGCCAAAGAACTGGTTGGTCGTCCGCGGGCCGCGCTTGCGCTTGATCCCGCCGGCCTCAGTGGCGACACAGCGGCCAAAGTAGAATCAGACTTGGAGCGGGCACTCTTGACAACGAGGCCGTCCTGGGAGGTTATCTCCAGGGCGTACTTACGCGCGTAGGACGGTTGCCAAGAGTGCTTGGCCTTGGACTTGGGCGCTATCAATTTGAATTCGCGCAATCAGCAATGGGATCGTCCGCACAACAGTCCACAAGAAGTCCGCGGACTTTCTTAAAAGTAGAAAAAGTTCAGCCCTTAAATGTGTAATTATCGTGTTAAATGTGAAATCTTGCACGATTTATGAGGCCTGGTGTACACGAGCCGGAGAAGATGAACACATACGCTAAAAATGTGTCGCGGCGGACCTTCCTCACAATACTATGGCGCCTCGAAAGCGAAGGCAAGGAGTACTTTTACTTGGACGAAACCAACTACAACACCTGGTGCTCGCGCGAATACGGATGGAGTGTCACGGGCAAACGTGCGGTCGTGAAGCGCACGACGTCGAAGGGCGAGAACATGCAAGTTATTGCGAGCATTGGCCGCGGGGGGCTTGTTTATCACGAGTCTAAATTCGGAACAAACCGGGCTGAGCACATGCACGAGTACGTGCGCGAGCTCCTCGGCGTCCTTGCCCAGTATCTGTCGTTGGACGATGTGATAGTTTTGACAACGCTCCATGCCATAGTGGCATTGAGGATGTTTTGTGGCAACGGAATTTGCCACACCGACATTGCTCCGGCTCGGTCCCTACAGTCCCATGCTGAATCCAATCGAAAACGTCTTCTCTGCGTTTAAGTCGGATGTCAAGCGAAGTCTTCGCCAGCGGCGCCAAGAGCTCCTCACTATTCCCCCCAACACCACCATCAAAGCTCACCGCGGCCGCATTCTTGAGGAAGCGTCGCAAGAAACTCTCCAAGTTGTCACACCAAGCCTGTGTGCCAAGTGCTTCTTGCACACTCGGAAGTTTTACGAAGCTGTGATCAACTTGGAGGATATGCAGGTCGGTACTTGATACCGTTTAAACGAATAAATTGAATTTCAGAGATGATTTTTCTATGTGCTGCACAACTTGTACTTCCGATTGGCACAACTTGAAGGTAAAAAGTTGCAGTATCGTCGGATCATACGTGCCGCATGAACTGGCAAGTTCACCACAGCTGAGTTGGTCAAACGTCATTCCATGCCGATCAGTCCTCGACGTGTATGCCAGGTGCTTACTGTGAGCGCCAGTTCAAGAAGAGTCTCACTGCACCAATGATGACACCAACCTACAATAAGGGCACGTGAGCAATGCGCGTCTGAGGCGTGTCACTGGAGTGCCAAATTTGCTGGTCTAGTGTGGTCAGACGACAAGAAGTGGAACCTGGACGGTCGTAATGTAACTACTACTGAGTTCATCTGGCACGCCGTCGCGGGACATCTCCAACCGACAGACTCTGGTAGTGGTGTTACGGTTACGGTGCATTGAACAGGCGAGGCAAGTCGGAACTTGCCTTTTCGAAGGTGAACAAGATGAGGAAGGGTATATTGATACAGGTAATCCCTGTCTTAATGGAAGTCCATCAAACTTTATAACTGTTACATTCTATAGAGTAGATTCTCATCAATATACAAAGGTTTTTTGCGTGACACTGTCAAGAATTTCAAGAATACTACGCACTATTGCGACCATGCCTGAAACCGGTCATCACGACCTAAAGCTGTCGAATGGATGGGAATACAACTTCTTGAAACAGCATGGTCTCCATTCACGACGTCTTTTGGCGAGGCTGCTTCTGTCGAAGAAGAAACAATTAAGAGAGGACGCCAACGGTGTCAAGAAGTATTGTCGGCTTACCTTTTGCGGATGTGAATAACTTTGACAAAACGGCTTTCTTCTACTGCATGCCACCGGGACGCGCCATTTCCAACAAAAGTATAAGCGGAATGAAGAACTACAAAAAGAGACTTACTGTTGCTGTGGTCACAAACGCGGATGGTACAGACAAACGGCCATTGTACTTTGTCGGCCATACTTCAAAACCAGGATGTTTCGATGGACAGTCTGCTGATGAATTGGGTGTTCAAAATCATGGAAGCA